CTCCTCCTCGAACCTGTTCTGCCATTCAATAGGATCGTGGGTGATCTGAAATTCCTCACGTCCACTTTCCTGCCCCTTTGTCCCCCTGTGATTCCCCGACTATTCAAGAATCTATTGATCTCAGCCTTAAATATACACACCCCCACACAGCTCTCTGTGGCAAGGATCCCAAAGACTCCCAACCCCCCGAGAGAAGAAATTCCTCCCCATCTCAGTCTTCAGTTGGTGCCCCCTTTACTCTGAGGCTGTGCCCTCTGGTCCTAGACTCTCCCATGAGGGGGAGCTCCCTCTCAGCATTGACCCTGACAATATGTTTCAATGGGATCGCCTCTCATTCTCCTAAACTCCAGAGAGTTAGAGTCCCGACCTGTTTAGTCTTTGCTCACAAGACAATCTCTCCATACCAGGGATCATCCTATTGAACATTCACATTCAGTGTTGAGCTTTTGCCAGGGGATACTGAAGGGGATCAGAGTGAGCCTGGGACAGTGAGCTGAAGTCACAAGTCAATGGGGAAGTTTGGGAGGGGGGTCAGGTTTGCAACCAAGACTCTGACGTTCATCAATTTGTATGCCTGTGGCTTCTCCGCTATGGGAGGCTACTTCATTGGGCATAATTGCCATATTGGTATTAGAGAGAACATGTCGGTCATCAAAACATCGCTCATTATTACCTTGCCTTTTGCATCCGATCGTAAGACAATATAGCATAAAAAAGAACCAAATTGGCTCTTTTCTTATGCTCAGTTATAGACTTATCCAATTATCCATGCACTGGAAGTAAAGGCTGATCCATCAATAGACCAGTCGTCACAAATTGCTCCCCGGCTGGACTGCTTGCTTTTCTATCTATCGACCCCCTTCGTATTACTCCTGGGAACAGAAATGTTGAATTAAATTGTTATTTGGACATTCCACATGCTGGATGTAGAGATGATTTTTGACATATTTTTCAACTCTATCGGCAAGAATCTCTCCCTTCAGGGAAGTGATGACGTGAAAGTGCCAGTGTTGGACTTGGGTAGGATGGACAAGATCAGAAGTCAGTCGATGCCAGGTTACAGACCAACAGGGTTATTTGAAATCATAAGCATTCGGAGTGTTGCCCCTTCGTCAGGTGAAGTGGGCAACACTCCAAACGCTTGTGATTTCAAATAACCCTGTTGGACTATAACCTGGTGTTGTCTGACCTTCAGCGAAGTGGTTATTGGCTGCTGGGACCTATGGCATCTGGGTTTGTCTCTCCCCAGAATTCGTGCAAGTGCATTTCTTTCGATATCACAGAATCATACAATGCGGAAGGGGTTCTTCGGCCCATCGAGTCTTGAATGTTTTGACACTTCAAGTGCTCGTCCAAGTATTTTTAAAGCTTGTGAGGTTTGTTGTCTCAACTACCCTCCCAGGCAGTACATTCCAGATCCTCACCAGCCTCTGCATGAAAACATGTTTCCTCAAATCCCCTCTAAATATTTCTCTTTAAAATTATTGATCCTTCAACTAAGGGGATCAGCTGCTTTCTATTCCCCCGTCCATGCCTTCATAATCTTACACACCTCTATCAGGTTTCTCCCTCAGCCTTCTCTACTCCAAAGAAAACAACCCGAGCTTATCCAGCCTCTCTTCATCGCTAAGCTGCTCTGTCTCAGACAACATCCTGGTGAATCTCCTCTGCACCCACTCCTGTGCAATCACAACCTTCCTATAGTATGGGGACCAGAACTGCACACAGTACTCCAACTGTGGCCTCACCAAAGTCCTGGAAAATCCAATGTAACCTCCCTGCTCTTATAATCTATGCCACGACTGATAAAGGCAAGTGTCCTGTCTTAAACACCCTATTAACCTGTCCTGCCACCTTCAGGAATCTGTGAACAAGCTCCCCAACATCCCCCTGTTCCTCTGAGCCAATACATATGATTGTATCTCTTTGATTTATCCTGTACTGAATCATCTTCAGAATTTTAAATCACCTATAAATGTAATGACTCAGTTATCAAACAACATACAATTCATTGAGATTTAGCTGTTGCTGTGCAATTCTCCTTTGAGTTTCATCAAATCACTACAAGAGTGGAAGCACCCTTTTGACCCATCAAGTCCAAAAGCCACCCAGATCCATACCCCTACCCTGTAACCCTGTATTTCCCACGGCTAAATCACCTAGCCTGCACATCCCTGGACACTACAGACAATTTAGCACAGCCAATCCACCTAGCCTGCACATCTTTGGACTGCGGGAGGAAACCAGAGCATCCAGATGAAACCCACGCAGACACGGGGAGAATGTGCAAACTCCACACAGACAGTCACCCAAGGCTGGAATCAAACCCAGGTCCCTGGTGCTCTGAGGCAGCAGTGCTAACCACTGAGCCACCGTGCTGCTGCCACACCGCCACCCCCCACTTCTCTCTTTACATTGGCATCTGTCTTCAAAGGCTTCCCTCCTGTACCTCCTGCCTTTCCTGTTCTCTAAATCACCTCAGCAGCACTTTACTTGTCCTTTCCAAATCTGTGTGCCCCAAGTTATTCGCTTTTCTCCCTCATACCTCCCTCAACTAACCCTGACACCATCCCCAACCACCAGACCTCCAGATACTGGAGATATCAGAAGGTGTCAGAACAACCCAGTCTCTCCCACTCACCCCATCTTGTGGCCTTGCAAGTTCATTTCCCAGACAGCCTGTCTGATTCCCCTTTGGCTATTGCTTCTACCACCCTTGTAGGCAGCAAGTTATTACAAACTCAATTATTAAGTAGTCTTCTTCATTTCCCCCTGTACCTCTCATCTAAAACATCTCCTTTCTTTATAGTGTAGTGGAAGGATACAAATATGTTGGAAGTACTTCACATATTGACTGGACTAAGGCCTGGAACAAGTGGATTGCCTTATGAGGTAATCCAGGCCTGTATTCTCTTGGGTTTAGAAGAGTCAGAGCTGTCTGAATCGAAGCATACAAGATCGAGGTGGACGCTGAAAAGCTGTTTGGGAGGGTCATGTTGCAGCTGTACAGGACATTGGTGAGCCTGCTTTTGGAATACTGCATTCAATTCTGGTCTCCCTGCTATGGGAAGGATGCTGTGAAACTTGAAAAGGTTCAGAAAAAGATTTACAAGGATATTGCCGGGACTGGAGGGTTTGAGCTGTAGGGAGAGGCTGAATAACCTGGGACTATTTTCCCTGGAGCGTCAGAGGCCGAGGGGGTGACCTTATAGAGGTTTATAAAATCATGAGGGGTATGGATAGGGTGAACAGTCGGTCTTTTCCCAGGGTAGGGGAGTCCAAAACTAGAGGGCATAGGTATAAGGTGAGAGGGGAAAGATTTAAAAGGGACCTGAGGGGCAAGTTTTTCACACAGAGTGTGGTGTGTGTATGGAACGAGCTGCCAGAGGAAGTGGTGGAAGCTGATACAATTACAACATTTAAAAGGCATCTGGATGAGTATATGAATAGGAAGGGTTTAGAGAGATATGGGCCAAATGCTGGCAAATGGCACCAGATTAATTTAGGATATCTGATCGGCATGGACAAGTTGGACCAAAGGGTCTGTTTCCATGCTGTACAGCTCTATGACTCTATGTCTTGTGGTAGAATCAAGAGCTAGGGGCTCACTGTAGAAAAATTTAAGAAAAAGGGAAGAACTTATTTCTCTCAATGAGGGTCATGAGTCTTTGGCTCTTTCTTCTTCTAAATGCAGTGGAAGTACAGAGTTTGAATAATTTTACAGCACAGTTTAGATAGAATCTTGGTAAAACAAGGGGTTGGAAGGTTATCACGCTCAGTGGAAATGTGGAAACCACTATCTTATTAAGTGGAGCAGCACATTCGAGGGGCTGAATGGCCTACTTTTGTTCCCAGTTTGTGCAGAGGGACTTGGGTGCCCCTGTGCATGAATCACAAAAAGTTGGTTTGCAGGTGCAGCAGGTAATTAAGAAGGCAAATGGAATATTGTCCTTCATTGCAAGGGGGGTGGAGTTGAAAAACAGGGAGGTTATGCTGCATCTGTGTAAGGTGCTGGTGAGGCCAAATCTGGAGTATTGTGTACAGTTTTGGTCTCCTTATTTGAGAAGGGACATACTGGCACTGGAGGGGATGCAGAGGAGGTTGATTCCAGAGTTGAGAGGGTTGGCTCATGGGGAGAGATTGTGCAGACTGGGCTATAATCATTGGAATTTAGAAGAGGGGGGATTTTACAGAAACATAAAATCATGAAGGGAATAAATAATATAGAACCAGGGAGGTTGTTTCCACTGGCAGGTGAAACTGGAACTAGGCGGCACAGTCTCAAAATAAGCAGGGGGCAGATTTCGGACGGAGTTGAGGAGAAACCTCTTCACCCAAAGGGTTGTGAATCTGTGGAATTCCCAGCCCAGTGAAGCAGTTGAGACTACCTCAATGAATGTTTTTAAGGCAAAGATAGATGGGTTTTTGAACAGTAAAGGAATTAAGGGCTATGGTGAATGGGTGGGCAAGTGGAGCTGAGACCACAAGAAAGATCTTATTGAATGGCTGAGCAGGCTCAATGGGCCAGATGGTGTACCCTTGCTCCGGCTTCTTATGTGTGTATGTTTGTATTTTTCACTTGTGGGACACAGATGTTGCTGGCTGGGCCAGTCCCTAACTGCCTTAGCAAAGCTGCCATCTTGATCTGCTGCAGACAATGCTATGGTGACCGTTCCAGGATTTTGACCCAGCTACACTGAAGGAAGGGGCAAAATATTTTTCCACGTCAGGCAACACAGGGGCTTGGCGCTGAGCTCTGAACCTTAGCTCAGCGATTGGAAGGAAGGGATGGGGCAGGTTTCACTGGCTGGGTAGGGCAGCGGGACAAGGTGAGTTGCTGGTGCAGAGACTGGCACTCACATGAAGGACTGAATGGCCTGATTCGCTGCTGAAAAACAAGAGAGAAGTCATAAAAGCAACTATGAGTTAATTGTTTCCCTTCGGGCTCGGGGAGTCAAGACTTGACTGACGTTCTGGAATTTTCTTTGGATTGCATAAACATGCATTACTTCCTGGCTTATAAATGGGATGAGTACACTTCAGGACCAGCAGCAGCAGGCTGTACTGGAAATTGCAACTTTGGCAACACACAAACGGACAGTGACAACACGCAGCTGGACTTCGCCTTTAATCCTTGCGCTCTTTCACACCACCTTGTAAACAGAAGGTGAGCTTATTTGTCTGCCGAGTTTGTTCAGCTGAGTGTGGAGTGGGGACAAAGGTAGGTTGAAAACATTTAAACCCCCTGCAACAGAGGCAAAACCATACCAGCTGATGCAATCTCACGTGTGAACAATGTGCAGATCTTAAATGCAAATACTGCATTTACTTTGTAACTTCCTTTCAAAAGGATGGCAAAAATCTCAAAGGTAAGAAAGTGCACTTGGGGTTCATTTTAAGGTCAGTGTTGGATTTCACTTTATTGCCAGTGTTCATGTTGCTGTGAGTGTGCAACGAATTCTGTAACTTTTTGTGTTTGATAAATACATGTAAATCATCACGATGTATGCAGTCAGCATCTAACAGATTGGTATTAAGGTTAATTATCTTTCTCAACCTTCTTCCCAAATGAAGTGAAGAGTTGTTCAATGGTTTGATCCTTGCCCTTTGGAGTAGCGACTAACCATTCTGTATGAGGGACTGACAACCCAGTGGCTCCTGTTGGAAAATGCATGGCTCCAATGTTAGAAGAAAGAGAACCAAAACAGAAATTGCTGGGGAAACTCAGAAAATCTGGCAGCATTTGTGGAGAGAAAGCAGAGTTAATGTTTCAGGTCCAGTGACCCTTCTTCAGAACTGATTATAGCTAGGAAAAGGATGGTAGAAATGCTGAGGATGGGAATGAACTATAGGTGGAGACGAAACCCAGAGAAAGAGAATAACAGTTGGACAAACAAAGGAATGGGTTTAAGGTCAGCCTGGGAGAATCAACACCAATGAACACAGGGTGGTGAGTTGAAGTGGCAGGCAACAGGAAGCTCAGGGTCATTTTTGCAGACAGAACGTAGGCTTTCTGCAAAGTGGTCACCTGTCTGTATTTCGTCTCCTCTATGGACAGGAGACCATATTCCCTGGCCAACATCTCTGTGTTGGGCTTGCTGTAGTAATCTAGCAAAGCTCAGAAAAAGAATGCCTGGCTGCTTTTTCTTCTCGATTTCATTAGAGGATCCAACTGTAGAGCTACAGTCGGCCCAGCTAAGAACAGCATAGGTGACATCACACCCTATGGACTGTAACATAATATGTGCTCCGAGTTACAGCCTGTTCATTCTCTTACAGTATGACGAAAATAAGCTCACCAACAGAATTGGAGAAGATGACCAAAATGAAAAATCACATCCAAGTTCTCATGAAGGCAAAAAACAGAGCACTGACTGTTAGGCAAGATGCAAACAAACAATTTGTCGTTGGTACAACTAAAAAGGAAACTAAAGTGGGTAAGTGACACTGGCTCTTTTCAATTTTCTCTTTTCTAGGCTCGTAGCTTCTTGAAAGGATTTAGATGGGTTCGGGAAAATAAATTTGCAAAAGATCCAAGGATTGGACAAAGCACGTGCTTTGGGATGGAGGGATTTTAATTTTCTGTCTAACTGCATGCCTTAGGAGCAAGCTTTGTACGAGGTTTGGGCGGGGGAGGTCTGCTATAACGCGATAGTTACGTTCCTGCACAACATCATGTTATAGAAAACCATACTGTAGAAATAATGCGGCCTATGGGAAAAGTGGGGTTAGGGGCAGACCACCCAAAAAATATCACCCAAAATCGCTCAAAAGCCTAACACAAAGAATGAATGTTTAATTCATGTCTAATAATGAAATAAAAGTAAATTTAACACCTTACCTAGAAAAAAATTTGAAGATGACTTGATCGGAGAGGAGGTTTTGAGGTTAGGCTGTTGTTAATGCAGGGGCTGAGGGTCATCAACACCTTCAGGTGCAGTTGTGGTTGCAGCGTTAGAGCGAAAAGTAGTGAATTCAGAAGGGGGCGGCTGTGGTTCATTGTCTTCTGACTGTGTCTGGGGGTTTAGCTTAAAAAAGACATCCAGTTTTTGCTGCTTTGCCCTTTTTCTTCTTTCATGAAGAAGCAGTTCACAGGGTGCCAAATAAGATCTTATTCCATGAACTGCTACCCTGCTGTGTTCTGCATTGTAAACATCGTCCTCTAAGAGCTGCAACTGCTTCTCAATTTCCCTCAGGATAGAAAACAAAACAGAAGTGGAAAGCTCTCGTGGTGCTGCATCCCTGACTTCATCTCCAGCTTCCACTTCCCCCTCAGTGACAAGTTGTTGTAGATCAGCTGTAGAGAGGTCTTCACAGTGGGACTCGGGCAGCTCTTCAACATCCTCGCTCTCCACTTCTTCAAATCCAACTTCCTTTCCAAGATCAACACAATCTTCTTTGATCCTTGGGAGCTCCTCTGGATCAAAGCCTTTAAAATCTTGAAAAAAATCTGTGAGCTTCTGCCAAACTGCATGCAAGCAGTCCTTCCTGACATCACCCCAGGCCTCCCGATAATGTCAATTGCATTCTTGATGTTAATGTTAAAAGGTGTACAAAATGTTCAGACGTATAGATAGAGTAGACAGCCAGAGACTTTTTCCTAGGGTGGAGGTAGCTATTATGAGGGGGCATAGTTTTAAAGTGAGTGGATGTAGATACAGGGGAGACATCAGAGGTAGGTTCTTTACTCAGAGAGTGGTCGGGGCGTGGAATGCATTGCCGGAGAGGGTAGTGGAGTCGGCCTCATTAGGGGCATTTAAGCGGCTATTAGATAGGCATATGGATGATAGCATAAGGTAGGGGTGGAGGTTAGATAGACCTACGGTTTAGGGTAAAAGTTCGGCACAACATCGTGGGCTGAAGGGCCTGTACTGTGCGGTATTGTTCTATGTCTTCCAAAATGGAAGAACACTATCCTTATCCCCCTCAGTGGCTGTAATCAGCCTCTTAAATGTACACCTTAAATAATAAGCTTTAAAAGCTGCTGCTGCACCCTGGTCCATGGGTGGAAGTACAGGAGTTGTGTTTGGGGGTAGAAACAGCACTTTGATGTTTTCAGAAAGCACATCAATGGTGGGAGGATGGCTTGGCGCATTATCCAAGATGAGGAGAATCTTGAAATCCAAATTTCAAGAAGGGACAGGACAAGGGGAGAAAAAAATCAAGTCGAGGTAGGAAGAGATGAACTCTGTGGGGCAGGAGCAAGTAGAAACAATGGGTCTGCCCGGGCAGTCCTGTTTATGGATTTTGGGAAGGAGGTTGGGAGACTATGAGTTTGGAGGCAGTTGAGGGGGGAGATCACCAGATGAATTTAGATTAGTGATCTTTGTGAACACAATGGCCTGGTGTTCCATGGTGGGCTCTTGGCCCATGGTGAGACAGGAGGAGGCAATGCTAAGACCTTTGCTCAGTACAGAACATTCAGCTTCGGATAGCAGAGGGTCAGAGGGGATAGTAAATACACGACAAGAGGTAGGGGTTGGGAGAGGGGATGGAGTCAGAGGGAAGGGAAGGGGAGGAAGGTTCCGGAGGGCTGTGGATATCTCTGAGTTGTTGCACCTTGTGTTCCTTGATGCCTGAAAGGAAAGGGCGTTAGTACATTGAATGAGTCAGAGAATGAAGTGGCACTGGGGAGCAGGGCAGCTCTGATTCAGCGTGAGGCAGTACAAATACAGAGAGAGGTGGGGAGTGTGCATATGGTGACACATAGCACTGAGTGTGGGTCTCAGGATGTGGTGACAACAGCTATCTGAGGACTGTTGCATATCACAGAGACACATGAGATCCTAGGTGGATTGAAAATGCAAAGGATAAAACTTCAGTTGGAATTCACACGGGTTGGGTCTGAGCCACAGACAGTCACTGACTATTGTAATGTGGCTGTGGAAGTGAGTTTTGGCAAATTCCTCGTCACTCCTGGTGTTTGACAAGGTAAATGATGACGGTGAACAAGAAAAAAGATTAGAATCAATATCCTGTTGGAGAGAGAAGCAGAATTTCTTAAAGGTGAACATGGAAAAGGTGTGGCAGTGAGTTAAACACTAAACAACAAAAAAAACTGCTGATGCTGCAAATCAGAAACAAAGACAGAAATTTCTGAAAAAACTGCTCTGGCAGCATGATGTCCAGGCTGGTTGATTGAAGAGATTGGTTTTACGGAAGGTGTTAAAGGACATAAGTGAGGTTGAGGGATGTAAACGGGAAATTCCAGAGCTTCCTTGCCTAGACAGCTAAAATCATGGCTGCTAACAGTGGGGTGTGATTAAAATCTGGGATGCTCAAGAGGCCAGAATTGAGCAGCGCAGAGATCTCTGAAAGTTGTGGGGAAGGAGGAGATTACAAATGACAGCGATGGGAGATAGTTAGACTGCGGAGAGATTTGAAAACCAAAGTGAGAATTTTATAACTAAGACATTGCTCGATGCCTGGAAAGTAAATTACTGAGCCTGGGGTTGTCAGGGGAACAGGATGTGCTGTGAGGTAACAGACGGAGAGCAAAGTTTCGCATGACTTCAAGGTTACAGGATAAACTTGATAAGTAAGAATAAGTCAGAAAGGGATGTTGATGGATTAAGGGAATGGGCAAAAATGTGGCAGATAGATTTCGTGTTAAGAATAGGGTCATCAAACGTACACACAATAAATTAAATACGTAGATTTGATTTCAATGGTAAATGGTAGAAGAAAGTTGGGATACTAGATATCTAAGGATATTCAGCAAATCATTTATAAGATGAAAATATGAAGGAAGAAATAGAATACTGTTTATAAAATGGTGTAATCAGCCCTGAAGAGTAATGGAATAGGTTAAAAGCCTTGATAATTACTGTGGTCCTTTGGTTGTTTATTATAGGCAGAGTCTAGAATGTACTCAACCTTGCAAAATCCAAATCAAAACGTCCACTGTTAGATGTGACTGTGTATCACTTGCTAAACAATCCTGTGTGTGCTAATAGCTACACTAACAACCAACTTAAGACTCATCATGTGGCTAATTGATGTTAACCTGAAGTGACAAAAATTCCTACACAGTGACGCAATCTCTGCCAAAAGGAATACGCTCAAGCCTTTTTTTAATGATCTGGAAGTCGTGGAACCTATTGGTACCCATTACTTTCTCCGTGGCAACCCCTCAGCCAGTCACAATTAGCTTGCCAACCAATTGGCAAACTTTTTCCTGCAGTATAAATTGGTGTGACAGTTTGAAATTTGGCATTCTTGCATTGGTCCTGATGACTGCAAGATGAAAAGCTTCAGCAACATGTCTCTCTTTTCAGCAAGTTACATTTTAATTCAGACTTAATTGATCTTGCAATTTGTTCTTGAGTTTTGCTTTCAGGGTTGCAAGATTAACATGTGGGACTTGTATCAAACTGTACCTTTATTACTTAATGCAGTATTTAACAAATGAGCTCAGTTGAGTTGTATCTTTGTTTTGACATGATCATTCTCTTGCTTTCTTTGTAGAAGTAAGATTTCAGAGAAGCCCGGGTTCACACCCATTCTACGTGTCCTTTGTGTTTAAGCATAAATCAAAAAAATATTATCTTTACTGCAAATGGACAAGCAATAAACCACAATTAATACTGACGCCTGAGGTAATATAATCTTTGATATATAATAAGCTTGACTTAATGTTTGAAAAATAATAATACAGACCATGCTATTTCTTGGAACGTACACCAGCCTTTTCCCATTGCCTCACGTCAGCAGACATCCTCTTAAAAAATGTTAAAAATTCCTACAACCATTTGGCTCTGTCTTTTCTGACTGCCACACCGTTTCATCAACCTATGTGTTTTAAATTAGTCCCCAAATATTCTTTCTGCCCTGTGCCTCTTACTGTCTCCTTCTGACTGGTTCTCATTTGTCCTTGCAGGGCAAACATAATCAGTTCAACATACCAGCCTCAGAAAGATCCAACCTCTTCAAGATGACGATGGACAGCAAACGATATAAATTTCAATCCTACCTGAGTGATGACTGGTTTCTCAGTGTGAGCAACAACATTCTTGTTCTGAACAATAGAGCTAGAAGAGAAAGCGCTCTCTTTGACTTAGAATCGTAGTCTGGCACTGGAATATTTGACTCTTCTTGTTAGATGAGGAGAGCTTTGTTAGTTTTCCTGGTCATCTTTTCCTAGGTTGTGGGGAGCTTATTACCCTGGCTAGAACTAAGTGATTTGAAAGCTTTTATATCGTCTATGTGCCTGCCCTTCTGACAATATGAATGAAATACTGCCCTCATTGCTGTCAGTCCAATGGCCTCTTCAGGCAAAGTACGGTTCAGAATGATTTGGCTCTAATCACTGCTCAAAATGAGCAAACAAATTCGGAGGAATAGGCCATTTTGTTTCGTATTCCACCATTCGATAAAATCATAATTATCAACTTCAATTTCCTGACCAAACCCCAAGTCCCTCACGTCCCATATGGTCATAACATCTCTCCTTTCAGCCTTGAATGTACTTGACTACTGACCATCGTGGGGAGAGTGATTGTAAAAATTCACAACCCACTGAGTGAAGACATTTATCCTCATCTCTGTCTTCAATGGTCTGTATTGTGTGGTTGCAGCCACTTTCCCTAGACCTTCCAGTGCATTGGAATAACCTGATCATGTCCAAGCCATTGAGAACACAAAACACTGCAGCAGCAGTTGGCCATTCGGCTCTCGAGCTCTGTCGTGATTCATAGAATCATTAAATTCCTACAGTGTAGAAGCAGGCCATTCAGCACATCGAATCTAAACCAACCTTCCAAACAGCATCTCACCCAGACCCACCTCCCTACCTATCCCTGTAACCCTGCATTTCCCATGGCTAATCCACTCATACAGCCAATCCACCCTAACCGGCACATCTTTGGTCTATGGGAGGAAGCCAGAACACCCAGAGGAAACCCACGCAGACACGGGGAGAACATGCAAACTCCACAGCCCGAGGGTGGAATCGAACTCGGGTCCCTGACACTGTGAGGCAGCCATACTAACCACTGAGCCTCTGTGCCACCCTGATGATCGTATTCAAAAGAAAAATCAATCATGTGTTCAATAGTTGCTCAGCAATTCAAAATTTCTGTTCTGCCTACCAAAGTAAATCACCTCACACACACACACCCACCCAGACACATTATGTTCCAGCTGCCTCAACCAGACTATTCACAACCTGTCACTATCATTTTGATCCCCCTCTAGCTTATGTTTTATTTTTAAACATTATGGCTTCAGCAAATGTGCATTCACTACCCTTAGTGCTTTCATCTGTAGTATAGATTGTAGGCAGTGAGGCCTCATTAGGCCTCTCACTATGCTTACTGTCCTATCACCAATCCTATCTCCATGTTGCCCCTTAACGCTTTATTGAATATCTTCCAAAAATCTTTACTGATATACCCAATAGATTTGTGGAACATGATCTCCTTTCTACAAAACCATGGTGACTTTGTGTGCTCAGATTACAATCTCCTTAACAGCAACTTCCAGCACTGAGTTCTTTCGCTGAATTCAAAGCCCATTATTGCTAGCAAGGCAGCAGCAATATTGCAACTGGATTCACATCGGCCAGCAAAGGCTTGCATTTATATGGTGCCATTCGCCTGCTCAGGACATCCCAGGGAATTTTTACGCCCAGTCAAGTTCTTTCTAACAGCTGGACTGTGGGAAATGCAGCAGCCAATGTGTGTGCACAGTGAGATCCCAGGAACGGCAATGTGCACACTGCAAGCTCCTACAAATCGTCATGTAAAGGTGACCAGACACTCTGCCTCTCTTCGGGAGGGGTGTTTGGCTATGTTGAATGAGGGATACATATTTGTGCAGAGCACGAGGGAGACTTCCCTGCACTTCTTCCAATAAAGCAGAGGGATCTTCTATGTCAACCTGAGAGAGTAGGTGGATCTATTGATCTAGCATCTCCTCAGGGCCTTGGGACTTGTTTAAGCTGCCTTGCAACGTATGGTCTTATGGCTGAGATATGGACATTGTAATGAGGATATTGGATATTCAGCCAGTCTGCTGCCAGTGCAAAGATTACAAATCTAACGTCAGCACAACCATTCATTTGTTAAGGTTACATAGAGTCGTAGAGATATTCAGTGCAGAAAAAGGCCCTTTGGCCAATCCCCCCTGCGTTAGTTAAAACAACCACCTCGCTATTCCAATCCCAGTTTCCCAGCACTTGGCCCACAGCCTTGGCATGGCGAGTGCCCATCTAAATCCTTCTTCAATGGGATGAGGGTTTCTGCCTCTCCAACCCTTAAGGCAGTGAGTTTCAGATTCCCCACCAGCCTCTGGGGGAAAACATTTTTCCTAACGACCCCTCTAAACTTCCTGTCCCTTCCCTTAAATCTATGTCCCCCGCCTTCCCTGATCATTGATCCCTCCATCAAGGGGAAAAGTTCGTTCCGGTCTACCGTATCGACACCCCTCATCATTTTGTCCATCTCAAATATGTCTCCCCTCTCAATCTCCTCTGCTCTAAGGAAAACAACGCCCAGTCTGTCCCAATCTCCTTTCAAGAACTGAAACTCTCCAGCCCCCACAAGGCAACATCCTGGTAAATCTCCCTCTGCTCTCTTTCCTAGTGCTATCACATCCCTCCTATAATGTGGATTCCAGAACTGTACACAATACTCTCGCTGTGTGGCCTAACCGACATCTTATACCAGCCAAATCTCCCTGGTCTTAAATTCTCAGAGTGAATTATTTCGCTCTTGCTTGTGAAAACTCCGGGTAATACAACAGGGATGTTACAGCATGCACAGTGATTCACTTTCAGCAAAAAGGCTGAGGTAGGACCCGCAAACAGGCAGGATGCCTCGTGGGAGCTGGAAGGTGAATATCTTTAGAGAACTCCGGAGAGGCCAGGAGGAAGGCAGCGTGTGCGGTCACACAGACAACACAGGTCTCACTGGCAGCACGACTGGGAAGTAGTGGCATGGAGGTGGTGCGTGGTGTGCATGCGGTTGTACTTTGACTTTCAGTTAGCTGGCTTGCGACACCAACAGCATGGCCTCAATACCCACACAGGCATAGGGCACCATGAGGGACTCTCCTCCTCACTGTTTCCTGTTGCCTAAGGCTAGGTAACCCTCAGGTTAAATCACCACCAGTCGTCTCTCTCTCTCTAATGAGAGAGAGAGATTCCGATGACTTTTGCCTGCTTTGACTCTCCTGCTCAGACTACAGAATGACCTCGACCTTATTTATACTGAATAAAGCATAACTCCTAACGACAATCTGGCACTTTGCAGCGTAAGCGAGTTTGTGGTGCTCACACCCCCTAGTAGCTCCTGCAGGTACTGCACAACTCCAACGTTTGCTGCAGACACAACTCAAGATTGGAAGGACAACATCTAGAATTAAACTACTGGGTACTTTTTGCAGACTTGCACTTTGCAGTGTTTGGTAATTGTTTGTAAACTGACTTGTTTATAATGCTGCTATCCTTGCCCTACGTTACACTTTCATTTAATTTTAATTATATAGCTGTGCCATGAATTATCAATGACTTGTTTTATATGTACTGTTGTCACAATTTGGCACCTGCTGCCTTGGTTTTTCAATAAAATAAAACCTAAGTCTAGTTCACCATCTTTCTTGGCTTCCCTTGCTTTTCCAACCTGTGTGGCCAACATTTTATTTGCTATTGTGCCTACTTCCCACCAAGCCACTCCCAATTCACTATTATCTACCAACTCATAGTTCTGTAAGTCACTGGTCACCAGGTTTTTATACTGTCCATAGTCTCCACAAAGTGCATTGAAGGAGTTGAATCGGTTTCTGTTACTAAAGGATTCAATTTTCAGTCAGACATGCTTTTAGAGAAAAGTAAATGGGACAAAGCTGGAGAATTACAGAGATAGTAGGAACTGCAGATGCTGGAGAATCAGAGATAACAAGGTGTAGAGCTGGATGAACACAGCAGGCCAAGCAGCATCAGAAGAGCAGGAAAGCTGACGTTTCGGGCCTAGACCCTTCTTCAGAATTACAGACTCACAGCAACATGATGAAGGATGGGAACACACAAAAGGGCACAGCCAGGAATGCAGAGATGTGTTGATAGGGAGTAGGGGACTACTACGCTACACAACTGACAAAGGTAGAGAAGGTTTTAGGTAAAATACATACAATACCTGTTGTATGTATTGTGCGGAATTAGTAAAGGTAACTGAAAGACCATTGAGTTACAAGTTAATCAAACAATTAAATAATTTAGTATGTGATGCTGTGTATAAAAACCGGAAACTTGCAGGACTTTTGTAGAGTTTAGTGTTCGACTGATTAGGCTGACTGTCAATATTTTCATTCGGATAAACAATCACTGCCTGTACCTGACCCTCCTGGCAGTTTATCAAGTTAAACATCAACAATAATAAAACATCTTACAGCACTTCCAGGAGTCTTGTCGAATAGAAAGTGGCAGTGAGCCATATGGGGAGATATAATAACAGGGGAGTAGTGACTTCATTAAGGAGGTGGGTTTTAAGTCATGTCTTAATAGGGGTGAGCTTGGGGGTGTTGGGCTGAAGAGAATTAGAAGAAAAGTGCAGAGCTTAGGGCTCCCAGCAGTCAAAGGCATGGCCACCAATGAATGTCAAGGATGTGCACAAAGTCTGTGTTATCACTGACCTCTTATGTTACAGCCTGAGTCTGTAACTCCGTGGGGAAGCCACTGTATGTTACGTGGGTGTTTCGCAGTGGAAATTCTCCACAAGTGACAACTAGAACTGGCACAAACAATCCACTGGAACATTTTACACAGCTTTTATCAGCTTCACTGAAGCCTCAATGGCTGCACTTTCTGTTCGAAGCTGGTGATGCTTTGCAGCTCAGATGTCAAGTTCACATTCATTGCTCCTTTCGTACTTGGGGATGAAAGGCCGAGATAACCAGCTCTGACTTTGCCACAGTGCCGCCCTCCCGAAAAACCCAGGTTTCCTCTTGGAAAAGAGAGCATTCGAACAGTCAAACAACAACTGATCGAAACAAGTTGTCTCTGTGCCAAACACCAGAGCAATACTTCAGCTAATTCTATATGCGGTATGGGTGACACATCTTGGAATTCTGATATGTACCATGTAGCGTCATTTAGAAATTACAGTACTCAAGTAATTGAATCTTGCTGAAAAGCCAAAGTTTTTCATCCTGTACTCATCAGGGCACACACACACACACACACACACACACACACACACACAATTACAAGCGGTCACTATAATTCATATGACAGTGACTGACTATCAGCAACTCACTGCCACCTATCACAGGTGATGTGACAGTTTAATTCCTTCAAATTGGTGCTGAACTAATCCGTACAGTCGTTTTGTTTCAGTTCATTGTGTTCTAATTGGGAGAGCTCAGTGAATACAAAAATGAACAATGTTTATGACTAGGCAAGAAAGACTGCAGTGCACCATGCCTCTGTGTCTGTTTAGTTTCTGAACAAGAAGACAGCGACTGTTGTTGGTGTTCCTAAAAATGCCTA